TCTTTCCTCTATTTCCTTTTACTTTCCTCTTGTCCCACTATCATGTTCAGCCTTCATTTGGGTTTCAGTAATTCTCTGTTCCATTGCCCTTACCAGGCCTCTCACACCCTTCTTGGCACTAATTTTGGATCACTTGTTGCTCGCTTGTCCCTAGGTTGGTCAACACCACCTCCCATTGTTTTCTCCTCCAGATTGTTCATCCAGCCTATCTTATCTAAATGGATCTGCAGAGATAACAATATGCACCCAAAAACAAGGCACAGCAAGACAAAGCAACAAAGGAGAACACAATGATGACACCAAAAAAGAAAACCAATGACCCAGAAAAGAATCAATTAATTTTTAAAAAGAGAAAAAAATTTAAGAAGAAAGAAAAACCTGTAAATAGATCTAGGTCTGATTTTTGACCTCTCCCCCAATCTAGGCTTATCCCCCAATCTAGTCTGATGAGGTGCCACACTCTGGCCCCCGAGACTATCCTTTGCACTCCTTCAGGAGATCCCTGCTCTGCTCCCTCGCTGTTCTGTCGCACGCCTTTAGTGTTTTGCCTCAGTGTTGCATGGTCAGTCCGGGCTAATCCTGACACTGCGTCTCCAGTGTTGTCCCCCGTAGGGCCATGGGTCAATGAGGGACATTGTGTCTCATAGTGGGATCAGCCATATGATCCACTCTGTGCATTGGCTGTTCAGAGCGGGGATATAGTCCTCCAGGCCTTGTGGGCCAGGATGTGCTCCACTCTCTCTTCCTCCCCATTCATTTGCTCCCATGAAGAAGAATAATTTATAATTTATCAAACATTCATGAGGATGGAAGGAGGGAAAAATGACAAGCTACCATGGGCTCAAGTAGAAAGAAAATGTTTTGAAAATGATAGCAACAGATGTACAAATGTGCTTGATACAACTGAAGTATGGATTGTTATAAGAGCTGCAAGAGCCCCCAATAAAATGATTTATAAAAAAAAATTTGAAAGAGAAAAAAAATCCCTATCTATGTAACATAAGAAATAGCCTTTCCATACGCCACTGAAGTTACACATCAGTGCAAGTCGCTTCCTAGCACAATTCCTTCCATGAACCATCACATGGAGAAGCATTGAACTGAAAATCCCAATTTTGTCCATAGCTTTGTTGGTAGTTACATAGAAACCAATCGACCTGGGCTTCAGTCTCCTCATCTGAGATTGGATTTGATTGTATAGTCCAAAGCTCTAGGATTCCTGTCAGTTTATTTAAGATCCTAAAATCTGAGGCACATACCCATTTCCAAGGGGATGCAAGTGGAATGAATCTACTAGTTTTCAAATTCCCAGAGGCACGTGATATATATCCATATTTCAACTGAAGCCACTCAAAATAGAGGTCAATAAAGCTGTGTTCTTCAACCACCTACTGATGAAACAGAGTGAGGAGAGTTGGGAAAGACACTAAGAGCAGTCCTTGACAAATAAGGACTGTTTATTTGTCCCACACGTGGAAAAAAATGGCAGTCTCATCAAAGAAGGGACGTTCTAGGATAATGGAAATAAATTGTATCTGGTGAGATACTCCAGACCTTCAGAAAAGAGGGAAGAATCCAAAATTTGCATGGGAGATATCTTATAGCAAGGTAAACAATGACCCTTCCCTCTTCTGCCTCCTCTTGGTATTCTTCTTCACCAAGGGCAGAGCTGAGGAAAAAGAAAAGATAGTCTTATCTTTGAGGTACCCAGAATTTCCAGCCTAGTAGTTAATGTCCACTGAGTTAGTTAATTGTGCCAACCTGGCCAATAAACACATGTGGGGCTAATTGAAAGGCGGAGGGATAAAATGGGTGCTGAGCCTCGCCTTTCTAGTTCTCGGGTCTCCTGCTTTGTGATGGTCGCACCAGGGTGCAGCTGCCTTAGCAGTTCCCTGCTTCAGCTTGCAAGATTGACTTCCTACAAGACATCCCCAAGGAGAAGCCACATGGACCTATCCAGATGCAGCCCTGGGTGCTGGAGCAGCCATGTGGAGACCCCTGCTAGTGCTGAGATGCTTACACATTCACTGACTCAGCTTTCCTCCTGCAGTCGGCATCATTGCCTCTGTTTTGTGAGGTGGAGGACTTTGTGGACTGGTGTTGGGTTAATGGGTTACTGTTGGACTTGTGGGCTTGGGCAGCATTTGGTTGGGATGTTTTTGTGATGCACACTTTCTTTACATAAAATGAGTTGCTGTGGATTTGTTTCTCTAAAGTACCCAGACTAATACATCCACCTTGCAGTAGATGAATGCAACCTGAAGTATTAAAAGATAAGATGAATGCCCTAAAGTAACTTCTAGATACAAAGAAAAGCACAGTAGACACGTAGCTGGGCTTAAGTTCCTATTTCTTTAGTGTGGAAAGGTACAAGGGTTGGCTCTGGGCCAAATCTTTCTTAACTCTTAGGTGATCTGAGGCAGACAATTCCACCTAATTGTCAACTTTTTTACATGTGATAAGCATCCATAGGGAAAGTAGCAGGAGCCCCCTTACTTCGTCCTGAGGGTCAAAGCTCACCTTTCTGGAAAATTTACCTCCGTTTCTAAAAGGAGGTAATAAAGCCTTGTGAAGAACCTTCATGGAGTCACCACGAGTCATATCTGACTTGATAGCAAGGGGTTTTGTTGTTTGGTAAAAAAGCATTACTAGTACTTGTTTTTTCTCAAAATTCTGTTGACATGAAAGGTTAAAAGATGGCAAACCAAAACCCAAACTCACTACCATGGAGTCAACGCTGGCTTATATATAGTGACCCCTGTGGGTTTCCAAGAGTATAGCTGTTTATGGAAGTAGAAAGCCCAGTCTTTCTCTGGAGAAGCTGATCACAGTCCAACCAGTAATCGCTGTACCACCGGGGCTCCTGAAAGATGACAGAGTATTTTGGAAAATAAGAGTATCAGATACAACGTAAGCTCACCTCCCAACATTAATGTGAAAACTGGGATGGTGTCCATTTGAGGACCACCATCTGTCTGTCAGTATTTCATACTGGGGTGGATTGTGTGTTGTCCTGATGCTGAAAACGATACCACTGGGATTTCAAATACCTGCAGGGTCAGTTATGGTGGACAGATTTCAGTGCTGCTGCTAGCCTAAGGCAGGCCTGGTAAAATGCTTCCAAAAATTAGCCAATGGGAACTCTATTGATGGCTACAGAATATTGCCCATTAGTGCTGGAAGATAATTCTTAGATGAGAAGTCACTCAAAAGACACCGTTGCCACCACAGTGGCTTTAAGCATAACATGAAGATAGTGCATGATGGGGCAACATTTCATTCTGTTCCAGGGGAGGTCACCATGAGTTCTCACTAACTGGGTGGAAAATAATAACGTTTAAGAATTTGTGTAAGGCCCTTGAGTAGTTGCTGACTTAGAGCACAAGGTGCTTTCCTTTTCTGGGCTTTGGAGGATGGACATGAATGGGGACAGACGGGCTGACAGATGTGACAGAAGCCTCAACCTCTAACCATATTTCAGAGAAGCCAGGAGGCCAGCATTTCCATAAGGTCAGGGCCCCACTCTTACCCAAGTTCATCCACCACAATGTGGGAAGTTCTCTCTTCTTTCTTCCTCACATTTTAGATATTTGGGCCACCTCTCCCTCAGTGCTTTGCAGATCTACATCCCTGCTAAATCATTACTCCATAAGTACAAGGATCACCAGGCACTGCAACACCAGCAGACCCACCTGGTCCTTCATATGGCTAACTTTCCAGCTCTGACCGGCCAGGCCCACCTTCTGTTACCAGAACCATCTCACCTGAATTTCTCTGACAGTGCCACTTCCACCCATCATCAGTTCCTGGTCCAGGAAGGAGTCTCCCTTACTTCCTACTCTCTCCAACCTAGCTGTTGTGTCGGAATTGACTGGTTGGTGGCAATGAGATTTTCTTGAGTTCTCAATCTGGCGAAGTGACCTCATTCGAAAGGCACCAGGTTCTGAAATAGCCCTTCTCTCAGCTTGTTTTGTGGTACTAGGCTGACTGCTTCCTGGACCCTTAGCCAATGTATAAAGGAATCATCATCACGGGGGCCGGGCTTCCTCCATTTACCCATGCGAGCAAGAGTTTCGATTCTACCAAGAGGTGAGCTTCAAACAACAGTGCTCATGTAAATTGCTTCAAAATAACAAATGCACGCGTAAAGGTACAAAGAATTTGTTCATGTATTCACCTGTAAATAACACCTGCCGTAGTTAAGTGCCACCAGCACCCCACTGCCATAAAAAACATAAAATAAAGGCTAACACATGAAATAACGGCTCTATAACCTAACGCCTCATAGCGAGGGTCGCTAAGGGTCAGAACTGATTAGACACGGTGAGTTTGACTTGAGTTTGGACCTCACACAAAGTACGGCACTTTATCTCTGCCTGTCTCCAAGCCTTCTTGGGAGGTGACTGTCCTACATTATCTCACGGGGTTCGGGCGAAGATTAAATGAATCAAATGCATGTAAAAACTCGAGGCACACAGTAAGCACCTGGGCACACCCATCCGGAGCTCACCTGTAGGGCTGGCGACACGCACTCTCGCTCCGGGCACACCCGGAGGGCTGGCGACATGCACTCGCGCTCCGGGCACACCGGGCGGGCTGCGGCAAGCACTCGCGCTCCGGGCACACCCGGAGGGCTGCGGCACGCACTCTCGCTGCCCGGAGACGCCGCACCTCGTCCTACCTGGGGAGGGGCCCCCT